CAAATCCGCAAGTTGTACGTGCAGGAGGAGTTAGAACATTTTTTTAGATCCTTGCAGCATCATGAAACTAAAGCGAGCCGTCACCACATATCGTAGCAAGATGTTTAACTCACAAGAACTTAACATTTTAGCAAAATGCAATTTCAAAAACTGCTTTCCACAGAGAGACAAGTTAGCAGCTCGTGAAGATACGCAATTGCATAATGTTGCAACACACGGCGAGTTTGTTTTCCTTATTCATCTGTTGATTGTGTTCCTAATACTTGATGCTTTTTTTTTTTTCCTCATTGTTCCAGGGAAGTAATGGAAAAAAAAAAAAACAACATTTATTTGAAGACAATCATAGTGTGAAGCGTGTTTAGATATTGATTGCATTCAAGAAGCGACCTCTTCTGTCTCCTTTCGCCTCCTGCGTTACATGTCAAGAACATGGAGGCTTGCGGTTGCGGGGTTATTAGATAATCTAAAATGGAATAATTCAGCGAGGAGAGCGCAGACTTGTGTGGGCGTGTGTGTGCGTCAGCCAAGGGTGTAAGGGCTTGAAAAGTGTTTCTCACAAATAGAAATGTTAATAACTCGCCAAGCAGAGTACATATCAATTTTCCGACTGGAGGTAGGAGGAAGGGGGCAGAGGGGTGAGATGGGGGAGATGCAGCGAGGGAGGGGGGTAATGACAGAAAGAGAGAGGGTGTCTATTCATACCTGGAGTGTTGCAGGTCATGTAATTACGTTTTTTTTATTGCATTATGTGAGTCAAATATAGGCAGCGTTATGAGTCATGTGGTCTAGGAGTAAAGTTCAGAGTTTGTCAGATAGAAATGATTTCATAATTTCGACACCAATGGCAGCTTGGGGGTTTTCAAAAGTGCAACAAAAACGAGCAAAACGTCCGAGTCGTGCACCTCGGCTCTATCAAAACTCCCAGCTGCATATCTGAAATGTCTCCCCAAACAACCGGGAGAAGAGTTTGCACAAAAAAAACCCCCAGAATCTCTGTTATTGCCTCTTCCTGTCAGCTCCCGTTGCTATCTGGGTAGCATCCTCCAAAGATATGAACAGTCATCCAGTAACAGATCAGATATGGCGGCGGTTCAAAAATCCAGCACGAGGGCCTTCAGTGTGAACAGCCCCGAGAAAACGTGTGACATAGCAAGAGAGGCTTGAAATGAGAGATTGGTATAAATCATCATCTCAATATCCATCTGGCAAGCCGTAGTAAAGCGGTAAACCCTCACTTGTAGATGGCTGAAATTGTTTGTGCGCGAAGAGGGAGATGCATTCCTCGGGGCTAACTCCGAACCCCGAGAGTGTTGAGCGAGTGCCCCATTTCTCTTGCCGAACACCTCCTTGAAAGTAATTGAATTTTGGATGAATCCGCTGAGGAGGAAACACTGTCAGGGATGGGGGGGGATAGGAGGAAGTGGGTGCTTGAGGAAAAAAAACAATCAAAGAATGAGAGGCAGGTGACAGCACCTTTTGGATGAGCTTCTCCTTAAAGAATGGCGCGCTATGAGATGCTTGACAGGATAAGCTTTCATAGAGGGATTTTTAAGAGAGGGCTATTCTTTTTTTTTTTTTTTTCCCTAAGATTTCATATTTTTCTTGGACATCTAGTATCCATTCATTTCTTGAAGGGGGATAGCTCTTCTTGCTTTTTTTTTTCTCCTTGCTCTATTGTGTTCCTGATCATATCTCTGACAGTTAGACAGCTACACTGAATCTTTCACTTCTCACTAGCTAATAACCATGTGCCAAGAAGTAAGACGATAGCGACAATAATACATTGACACCCTTCTCGTGATTACTGATAACAAGTTGAGTGCTTTGACCCCGATAAGCCCTCAGAAGTAGCTGCCTTCAAACAGGTGGCCGTCGTCTTTAAACGCACTCCACCGGCGTCGGAAAATGAGCCGCGTTATGTGCTGGATTTGGGGGAAGCGTCGCAGAGATCTGGCAGGAGTGCAACGCGGTGGAATCATGGCAACGTCTTCAAACGATCGCGGTGGCAACGAGCCCTTTTCTGCTGCTATCTTGAACAATCAGAGCACTTTCCTTTTCATTTCATGCCAGTTTACTCAAGACTCAAGTCATTGCTGAAATCAGTTGTGAAATTGCGTTGGAGCTGCAGCAGCTGCACAGTTTTTTACTAGAGGGAGCAGCAAAGGGGAATATACATTAACGGTGTTATCATGGATCAAATGTGATGACAAAGATGGTGTAATCTTTAGGGTTGGGGTCCTGTCTTGTTAGAAAAGAAAGCCGTTTGTAGATGAGCTATGATTAGAAGCAAAAGGATCGATCAGCCTCTGAAGGAACCTCAATGCAAATAACAGCCACGCAGACATGTGGTGGGCAATCAAAGCAAGAACGCCTGCATCGATACACGTGAGCCTCGGCCACCAGATGAGCTCAGCACCTTTTTTACACTTGCTTTGATCTCAGCAATAATGTGCTAAAGACGTCGCTTAGGGTGAACGTGAAGCTGGAAAGCCTATCCTGACCGGCCACAGAACAACATGGCACCGTGCAGCCACAGGATCTGCCCAGCATCATCTGCACCAACATAAGCTGCGTGCACAGAGCCCACAGAACAGCTCAGGACATCATCCAGTCCGGTTTGAGCTTGATAACCCTGCTGTTCGCCTGGCAGGAGATGCAGGGGTTCACTGACTGTGGGGCAGCTTCTTCCCTCAAGCTGCAAGACTTCTAAAGACCACTTAAACTGTCTCACCAACAAAGGCTCAAATGCCAGTGATCTCCTTTAACTTTGCTACGACTAAACCTAAACCTAACCTAAACTATCCAAACAACACTAGTTTGTCGTGCATAGCTGGACTGATCTCCACATTGCTATGTCAGTGTCGGAGAATGATGGAGAATAGCTTGAAATCAATATTAGCAAATAGGATTACTACTGAAGGATAATTTTTAGATTTGAGTTAAGAGTGGCAGGAATGCAGCAACGAGTGGGTGACTGGGTTGTTTCCCCTGCGACCACGTTATGCATTGAATTTGGATCACCGTCCACCTCATCTGCAGTTCAGACATGTACCATGTTGAAAGCCAGACATAAATGCTACTAGGTCCAACCTATTAGGATCTTTAATGAAAAAAGCGTCCAGGCCTGTGATATCTCCAGATGCCACCAGATTAATGGAATAGTATGCATGTCTGAGAGAGACTCATACTTCGTGATTCCCCGTGAAAAAAGACACAAATACCAGGTATCCAACCTTGGTGGGTGGATAAAAATAAACAGTGTCCTTGAAAACACTTTTTTTTTTTGGAAACCTTACTTCTCGAGCTGTTTTCAAATGCCGCACACAAGCTCATACCAAAGCACAATGCCATGTTTTCACGTGTGATTCCTCAATGTATTTAATCCCATAATCCACTTCCTTTTTTTTTTTTTTTTTACGTCGAGCACACATGCAGACATGAACCCAACAGAGGATGACGCGCCGTGTTTTCTCATCAGTGCAGTCGGTATCAACCAGAAATTAATTACAATGCATCACAAGAGCGCATTCTTAACCTTTTCAGCGATAATAAGTGTTTTCTTTGATGTCTAGCAGTCCAGGATATCACTGCGAGCTGCAGGGATACCGAGCAGAACTGGCGAATCAGTCATTTCCTCTGTTTTCAAACCCAAAGAACGAGGTTTTGTGCTAATGTTGCAAACCCAACATGGAAAACTAATTAAAAAGATAAGATTTTTGTGTAGTGGCATGAAGGTTTTTTTTTTGTTTTTTTTTTAGGTAGCACTGGTTGCAGAAAGCAAGGGCTGATGACAATAGGCCTTTGACGAGGAGAACACAGCAATGTCGCCATGTTTTGGCTGCCGGCCAGTTTCACATGCCTCCGAGTGTCTCAAAGGTTATTATGGCTTTTCAGGGTTTCCTCTCAAAGGCGTTCTGATGCAGCTTTGTGGAATCTATGTGAAGCATCTTTGTCGTGACTGAGATGCCATTGGAAGCGCCCTTGCAGTCTGCATGTGTCGCTTGTCGAGCGAAAGCAGAGATGGCACTTTCGCCGTAAGCAAGGAGACGAATTTGTGCCCCAACAAAAGGAAGAATTATGCCGTCACATGGAGGAATTTGATGAGCAAGTGTCGCTGAGGAATTCTTGTAGCCGCCGGCAGAGTAAACAGTATTAACTCTCATCAACTTGATTTCGACTCCGATGTACGTTCATCTACAGTGTCAACAAAATTGTGATTAAAAAGTGACATGTGGCACAACTGGATTAAATCTCTTCAACTATTAGCATGTCCTTAAAGCTGTAGTAGCTGCTTCTTACATTAAAATATCCCAAAAAAAAAAACGTCTCTCAGAGCGACATTTTATTAGATTTGTTGAGTTCATCATCCATCTCACACACGTGAATGAATGAAGCTTCGCGTGTTTGATTCGCATCACTTTAAATGTCACGTTATTCCCATTTTCATCGCCGTCGTTGTCACTGTGAGTTCCAGTTTTGGAAGTACGTTAAGCCACATTCACCTTTTCCTGCCTCTCAAACAGCTTTCCTGAATAATTACGTTAACAGAGAGATACCCTGATCCGACCGGGCACCTGATTACGTCGTGTCAGTCGCGGTAGAAGTGGACTTGTGCGCTGCAGGTAGTTGACAAAGCAGCGTGGCCCGGCTCGCCTTGATAGAGACGCGTCTTGACATTTGTATCATCAACAGCTTCGCCCTGATTATACAGCGAGTCCCCGAAGAGAAACTAACACAAACAAAGCAGCGGCAGACAAACAAAAATTTGCACATGGAGGTGCGAGACTTTTCTCCAGCTGACCTTAAGGCTTTGTAGAAGCTCTGTAATTATTGGCTCAGGACCTAAAATTTTCTTTGTATTCGCGCTTTGATCGAGCATCTCCTGCCAAAAATCGTTATCTCTTCTTTTTGATGTTTTTTTTTTTTGGGGGAGGCGGTTTGAGTGCATTCACAGCTTGCCATAGTATGAATTTATAACTCATGCGTTTGTTTCCTTGTAGGACTGATAAAAAAAAATGAAAGCTCCCATTCCTCTTCTGATCCTGCTTCATGCTGTTGTGGTCCATTGCCTGAAAGTGGTGTCGAAGCGAGGCTCAGGTAAGTCTCATCCCATTACAATGACTACTGTATCGCCTTTTTTTTCTCGTGAAACAAAGTACAGACAGAAACAGAGGAGAAAAAAACATATAAAAGAGTTTACTCACGGAATCCAACAAACAGATACATTAATTGGCTCAGAGATTTGATTCCCTGGAACATAGCAACATTTCAAGGCTCTGTTTTCTTTTTTTTTTTTTTGGCCTGAAAGCACAAATCATGTTTCAGTCAACAGCTCAGAGATAACACGGTCTCGTTCTGTTGTACTTGGAGACCAGTCGTGATGTGAAACAGAGCTGCCCTCACTTTGAACGGCTTCATTTAAACGGTATTCAAACTGAGCTTCAGACAATGAAGACGGAGTGTCATTGTTGATCTTTGCACATCAGCTGCATCTTGTTTTAATTTGTTGCAGGAGATAAGGACGGAGGGATGTTTATTCTTGTAGGGGTTTGAAACACTAATTACGTCCTGAGAGTTTGTTCAAACTATTTGCATTATTCCCACGTACTGACTGAGATGTCTGTTAAGTGTGTAAAGTTGGAAATCTTTTGTTTTCAAGATCTCCTCAGCTGCTTTATAAAAGTGCAGACTTGACCTTGTTTTGAATGTTTCCATGCTATCTGATGCAGCTAGCTGCTCTTTCAAACTGTCTTACAATAGATGCAATTAGCAATGCTCAGTTTGATATTGTAGGACTTTGTGCCAGTGATCTTGTAACATTTATTATCACCACTCCTCAAATCAACCCCTGTGTGCAAAAGTTAGCTTTAAGTATGTGAATGATTGAATAAGTTGCTTCTTCTTGGATCCATAAAGCCCTTTGCATGTAAGGACTGTGGCCTTTGTAGAAATATCAGAATAGTTGTTGCATGGCTGCTGCAGAGTCAGGAGATGAAAACTAGAGGAACATCTACAGGACATTGGCATACATAAAGGAAGTCCGTTTTTTATTTTCTTTACCATCCAGCGGCTGCTTGCGTCTGGGTTTTTATCCATGCATATTAGACACAGGTGCAGGAATGGCCCAGGGCTCATCAAAGGGTTTTCTGCTTTTCCAGCAGAAGTCCCTACGGGCTATCTCTTCCGATGCTTCACGAGCCATTGCCTAGGGCAAGGATTTGAAACGTGTCCACTGATAAATGAACACCCCATTCGAGCCAGACCCCCGTCCTTTGTTCCTTCTCTTTTAGATTGTACGGCTTTATTAGAAGCCATGCTGGTCGCAAGTTAGAGCACCGTTGTAAAAGGGGGATTCTGGGCAATGAAAGCCCATTTGAAATTGCATTGCTTTCATTTTTATGGAACAGAAAGAAGCAGTGGGGGCAGGAAGGTGAGTATCCTGGTGTGATACAGTCGCAGGTATATTTTCAAAGAAGCATTTTTCAGGGTTTAGGGCTCCTTTGTTTATGAGACAGATCCTATGCAGTTTGTTTGGTCATGTATATATTGGAGATTGCATAAAGTTAAGCTTGTAATCTCAATTAAATTGCAGCAAGACCTTTCTCTAATAAGAAACTTTACATTATTTACTGAGAAGAAGCTGTTGTTTCACTCATTTTTGAGCTCAATACAATGAAATTAATTCAATTTAATTAAGAATGCTTGAAAGAAAGATGAGCAAAATTGAAAAATATAAAGATTTACCTTAAATTGATCAAAGAAACGATAGATTTAATGTCTGATAAGGCAAGTTGAGACGCTCCACGCTCTGAACGTGTCGTGTTTTTGGTTTGTACCTTTGTCGCTGCAGAGAATTTCATCTGTGAGCGTCAGCCCATTAGAGGAAATTAAATGGCTTGATTGACTTCCTCGGGGACAAAGAATCCTCTATCTCACTCGCTTTCCCTTTTGCTGGCTCACAAACACTCGCACAAAAAGGGGGAGAAAAAAAAAAAATAAATAAAAAAACAAAAACTGTGGAAACCCCTGCACAGTGCTGCATGTGCACTGCTATTATCTGTAGATTATTAAATTCAAAACACTCGTCTTTGAGTAATGCTTTGTCTGCATTTGTACTTGGGGTGCAAAAACATACAATGCATATCTGCCATACTAATCCTCGGCATGCATATGTAGGAGAACGTATCCGTTTGTCCTCTGCTGTGGTTCCTCTTTGTTAGAATGCTGATATGGCCTGAATGGTTGGGCGAACAGAATAATTATGTATATTTTTGCTTAATACAGCACATCAAGTTAGATGTTGAAGTGAAACTCCACTCTTGGATGCACTTACACTCTTGTATGTTATCAGTAAGTGATGTTCAAACTGTGATGTACAATTTATTTCAGGAGTTATATTTGTAGCTCCATTCCTTTCTCTTTTTTTTTATTGAGTGTAAAGCATCTTGTAACTGGCGTTGCATTCTGGTTTATTGAGGTTACTGTCTGCGTAGAATGATGCAAAATAGCAAATGTAGAAATCATGATCTTGCTGTCTGTTTGTGCTTTAACTGGTTGTGTTGAACAGAATAAGGAAGATATATCACAAAATGGAGTCTGGGTTGCGTCGGGGGTTTGAGATCGCGGTCAAAGTCAGCTGTTTGATGCACATCTCAGTTTAACAGATCTGTGGTGGCAGAGGTGTAAAGTTTAGAGAAGTGGACTTGTCGCCTTCCCACAGGGAAAATCTGCGTGGGAAAAGTGAACAAGTGACACAGCGACTGTCAAACCGGCCTTGAGCGAGACTCTCGACAATGATTTAATTCTTTATTTTCTGCAGAGCAACAGCACAGGACTGAGGTTGTACAGTGCAGCTTGCAATGTTCCCTGGAAGATAATATGGTGATCAGAAAAGCTGTTGAAAAAAGACATCAATTTGATGATTTAACTTTAAAATTAGTTTCCCTGACTAATGAAATAGGAGGGTCATGGGCTGCTGACCTCCTTCGTCCACTCTTCATTCATCACTCAACAGTAACAGCTGGCATTTAAATGTAGAAACACAAAAAAAAACACATTGAGGGTTACAGTGTTCCACCTTTTGGCAAATATTTATCATGCATAGCAAAATTGAAAATTAGGAGGTCAGTGTGGTCAGTTGCTCTCACCAAACTACATCTCTTTGAGGTGTGGATGAGTTTTTCTGTCATTCTTGCTATCCTTGGTCATTAAAAAAGAAAACGCCCATGCTGGCTGAAAAATGGGGTTGTGGTGCTGGTATTGTCTTAAACACACAATCAGCCCCCTTGTCGGCCACTCGCGTCGCGGTACACAATAGGTGCTTGGACGAGCCGTGTGATAAATCCCTTAAAGCGCCCGTTTGGTGACTTGGCAGCGAGCTGTTGCACCACGCAGCTGCATTTTATTTGATACGAGATCGAAAGTCGGGAGATCACACGAGGTCTCAGTTTAGACTCTCTGAAGTAATAACTATGCATTTATTCTTTTTCGTACTTCAGAACATGGATTACTATCAGAGTGAGAACGAGCTGCAGAGGTTACCGAGAATGACTTTAGACAGTCCTGAATACAGAATAGAACAAAAAAAAAGAACATGTACCCGCCTCGCAAACTCAACTAAACAGGTGGAAGATGTCCAAAATAATATAGAAGTTCTCTGCCATGTTTCCATTTATCTTTGCTGTTCTGTTTTACTCCATGCAGCTAGCTGCAGTTCCCAAGCATCAGGAGTTTGTGTTCTCCACAGGGATTCACTGTGACGAATCCCTACAGCATGTCTACACTTGCTGTTTTTGAGGAGCGGTCCTGCTGTCTTTTTTTGTCGCTATGGCCACAATGTGAACCCTTGAATGACCTGGCGTACTTGTTTCAATCAGATACAAGATAATACTCAGAGAATTCCCCGTGGGGCGATGCTTCAGCTAACCATCATTTGATTAGTAAGGAAGCAGAAATAGTGCTATTTGCCCCATGTGTGGAGGGCTGCAGTTTGGTGAAGATGTGTGTGGTGCGTTTCAGATGGTGTCAGCACATTAAATGGCTGTTATGATTGCAGATGATTCGAATACGTATGGGCCAGTAGGGGACTCCTCCAGTAGGCTCAGTGGAGCATTATCACCTGATTTGATGGCGGTGAAGCAGCCACACATGTGGACGTCGGAGGGGTTGTTTGAGTCCTCCAGCCCCCTTTTGGACTCAAGTCTCATTTTGACTTTCCCTGTTTTTCCCCGACTTGCATTTTCAGTTAGTGTTTGGTTAGATTTCAGCACCAGAACTACTCGGTTGAGAAAAGGATTTTTTATTTTACATGCACCTATTCACAGGAGTGCAGGAGGCTGTCCATGTTCTCGGTGTTAGCGTCGGTTTTATCAGAGATCAGACTGGATGATAATGTGTCTTCTTGCCCACAAGAAGGTGGGGAAAGTCCCCGCTGGCTCGTATCTCCAGGAATGATGGCGCATGATAACGGACATTTAATGGGCTGATACCATACAAACCGGTAGTCTTTCAATATCCCGTTCAAGATTGGGTTTGCTAGATTACGATTAGCATTAAATCACCGCAGTTTACAATAGGTCTGGTGCTGTTAAAATTAGCAGGGATTCTGATTTTGCAGATAAATAGTGCTGTTGCGATTCTTTGCGGCCAGCTTTATATCATCGGTCCCTGGGAAGGTTCAGGAAAGCGAGAGGTGAACTGAAACACTTGACTCAGGAGCAAAAAAGAGGTAAAAGGTCTAAAAACAAAGCAGAGTTCAGCAAAAAAAAAGGCATCCAAGGGTCAATGTGCAACGATAAAAGCCATTTAACGGACCGATGGCGTCTGAATCGGGCGGCGTAGCTGTAGGTTGAGGTGCTTAAAGCTCAAGTGCGCTATTGATGCACATCTGTTGGGAGCTATTTTTAAAAAAATAGGCTGCCGGGATTTTTTTTATTTATTTTTGTGGTCATGGTTTATTTCTAATGAGGCGATGTCACTGTCAGACACATATTTACTACCAAAAAAAAAACAATCAGCGTTCCCATCCGATGATTGATTGCCTCGGGATTTTAAGTTTACACACTCTGTCGCGGGAAACATTTCTATTTTATATTCAC